AGAAACTAAGCCCAAACCAAATTCAGATTCAGTCCAATATTATGATTATCTAAAAACAAAAAATTAAAATAATGAAAGATAAACAAAAGAGATCCTAAACGGATGCGTTTGTTGAGATAAGGGTTTGGTATTTGTGATTGTTCATCTTCACGAGACAACACAAAGCTCATTCTCTCCCTCTTCAAATTGACAGCGATTCCGGTCAACTCCTTCTTCTTCAGCAATGAACGCTAACGCCACCACCATATTCCATCTCTGTTTCAATATCAAATCACCTTCTCTCAACACGGCACGATGCTGCAAGAGATCGGTCTTCTTCGTCTCAAGCTTCACTTATGCGACTACATTGATCTCGTCTCAAACCTTTCCGCCTAGACCTCTCCTTTGCCATAGCTTTGGTCTCATCTCCGATCTCAATTTTTTTCACCTCAGTTATGCTCCATCGATTTCACTATTCCGATTTCAATCCAAGAAATGCATCTTTATTTCGAACACCAAATCAGGAAGTATAGAACGAATAATAAATGTTTACATGCCGGAGAAAATGTCTGGCGCTTCTTCGACTTTGGAGAAAAAGCGAGAATGAATTCCAGATGCGTATAATCAGGTAACGACAACGAATCTTCTTCTTCTTTTTCTTCTTCTTCTTTTCTTCTGATTTTTTCTCAAATTCTCCTGGTGTTGTGTTGAAACTGATTCAAATGCGTTGAAGCATTGATGATGAAAATGCACGGTGATGATGATGATGTTGTTGATGAATTGCGTGAAGGTCTAGTCGCAGAGGAAGTAGAAACCGGTGATTCTTGAAGATTAAAGAGAGTTTGCACATCGAGTTTGCATGAGGTTGAGTGAAAGTGAAGAAAATGGTGATTTTTAGAGAGAGATTGAAGGGAATTTCTCAAAAATCTCTGAGATTCAGCGGTGAGTATCTTTTTGTTTTTTTTCTGTGACTTTTTCTTGTGAATGAATACTCTCTTTGAATTTGTTACCTTTTTCTGTTATAGATCTCTACTAGAATTTTTGTTAGAAGTAGTTAGGAGGTTAGAGCTGTTAGTTTCAATTGATGTTAGTTAGAGAGTTGGTTGGAGGTTATTAGTTAGGAGGAGTTTAGATTCGGTTATAGTTCTGTTTTGACATTTGGTGATTCAGTTATAACTTGTTAGAGAAGCTTGAAACATGCTGAGCTGGAGCTTCTGATTCTTATTTAATTATTTCTGATTTAAAACATTCCCTCATATTTTCCATGGTTTTTCCCTTCCTAAAATGCAAATTTCTTCTTTTAATATTTTCTATTTAAAAAATGGAACAGGCAGAGCTGGTTTAGTTTTAGTTTTAGTTAACAGTTATCTGTTAGTTTTTTTTTGTGGTTAACCATTTTACTGGCTTATGTGTTGCAGAGCAGGTATGTCATTTCTGATTTTTCTTTGGCTCAGGTTAGCAATTATGGTAAACTAATATTGCTATGTTAATTCTTATGAAAACAGTCACCCGAATTGAATTTTAGTCTATGTGAACAAGTTATGAGATTGGTGACTGTTTGGTATTGGCTCATATGGACTAAACTGATTTTGTGGTTTTAATTTATGAGTTGGATTTTATATATGGTGTAGGGTTGTACTAGTTAATTGGTGAGCATGGTAATGGTATGGTATAAGCAATTTCGCAGGCTTGGCCAAATGGAAGGAAGCATGAAGATTGCTTGAGAGCATGAAGTATGATGAAGATTAGGCTTAATGTTACGATATGTTTTGGTATTTTCATGTAGTTTGTAATGGCTACGATGTATTGAATTTTACTTGGATTAACTTTGTAACTTTGTAATATTTTGAAGATCCAATGGCAAACCATTAAGTGATCAACATGTTCTCTTTTTTTCGAAATTGAATTTCAAACTTCAAAGTTCTTTTGATCTTTTGTTGCATAATCCCATGACAATCTTGGGTGAAACATGTTTATCTTGGAAATTCAACAATAAAAAACCAAATATTCAAAGCGACCTTCTCTTTCAAATTGAATTAGAACTTTCGATCGTTCTTTGCTTCAATAATCTTGAACGGATTGCCATGTATACGTGTATTCAAATGTAACTTGAATGAATCATGATTTCTTCCTTGATCTCATCACTTTGAATGAAATGGTGGATAAAAGCCCAAAACGTTTTCCATAAGATCCAAATCCAAGACTTGTATAACAAGTAATGAAACACAACTTCAAGTGATGGTGAGGATAAAATGAACCAATCCTTTAATGCTGATAAGAACCCTTATCTATGCAGTAACTTGTAATCAAAGCAATGAACCAAAGACTTATATCTTTCACCAATGCATCAGACTCTATAAGAAACCATGTTGATCAGCACTTGAATAGGGAAATTAAAAGTATATATATGAGATTTATGAGATGCACAAGTCAGATGATTTTATTAAAGGGTAGGATAAATTTGGGGTATGACACCCTCCAATCCAACCTTCTCCTTGTTTTAGAGTTATGATATCACTAGTGCAGAAATGACTTTTTACATCGGGTGAAACTGACTTTTTACATCGGTTCTGGGTCCGATGTAAAGTCAGACGATATAGTAAATCAGGTACTTTTTACATTGGTTCTGGTTCCGATGTAAAAAGTCCCTTTTTTACATCGGTTGTAAAAAATAATTATAACATTATTTTAAAAAAATTGACGCAACTTTTTACATCGGTTAAACGTGTGGGCCGATGTAAAATGTCCCTTTTTTACATCGCTTGTTATCTAAGAATGATGTAAAAAACAGTTATAATATTATTTTAAAAAAAATTGACGCAACTTTTTACATCGGTTTAACGCGTGGACCGATGTAAAAAGTACCTTTTTTACATCGGTTATAATATAAGCCCGATGTAATATATACAGTTTTGAAAGTTTTTACATCAGTTGGGAGTAATAACCGATATAAAATGTATGAAATTTTTTGAGAATAAATTATTTATTTTCTGGATGTTTCCCTGTACAAAAATAATTTGTACCCATTTTTTCATATTTTTTCAATATTACACAGACTATATTTATGTCGCTATATAGATTTCATAGCTTTCCAACATCACATAGACCACATCTAGGTCGATGTTTTCATATTTTTCACAACAAACTTACAAATTGAACAATTGTATTACAAACTTGTATTGTATCACAACAAACAAACTCACAATAAACTTACAATTACATATTCTTCACAAAACATACAAAAATATTCAACTATTTATAAGTCTTTTTCCAAACTTGAATTACCAATATAAAATCCACAAGTAGATGAGTTATAGCTTCGGTAGACAACACCAAAATCACATTGCATGACAATAAATAATAACAATTCACATCAGCCAAAAAATCAAGAAACTCAATGCATGTGTAAAAACCACATGTAACGTGTAAAAACTCAATAATAACAATTATGTGCAAAAACCACAACTTAGACAATTCTATAAAACTCATCAAGATAAACTTAATTTTTATATAACTCAGAAACATTTTTCCCAACGGAGTCGCAAATCATACAAATCATCTTGTATTAATTCTGTTGGGTCATCAAATACCTATAAAACATAAATATAACAATATAGAGTTATTTTTAAAAAATTCATATTAAGTCGAAACACAAAAAGTAAATAACAAAGTAAAGTTATTTTTAGTACCTGCATCCAATTCTCAGTTATATTAGCAGAGACAATATCCAACATATTTTTCATCACATAGTATCCACAATCATTAGAGTTATGTTGTTGCCTTGTCTACAATTGAATGACATAATTAGTGAATATTTATCATAAATTTAACTATAGAATTACAATTTACATCACACTTACATTGGGATGAAGTCATGTAGCCTTTTTTTTATTTTCATTTGCCATTTGATGAATCCCAAAGAACTAATACAGAAAGATAAACATCACATAACTAAATTTACTCGCCAATGAAAAATCACATAACTATTAGTTGCCAATGAAAGTCACATGAAAGATAAACTTACTTTGTAATAATTTTCTTCGTATTCTCGTCAATTTTCCGATGAAGTGAACAAAATACGACAACTAAATTGTCTCTTGGGCACATGACTATTAATTGCCAATGTCTCATGTACGTGTGTGTGGAAACAGAAAAGTCACATAAAATATATATGTTATCAAAATTAAATAATATAAAACACAATTTCATAAAAATTCTTACCCATGAATTAATGGTACTAAGTGACACACTCTGTTTTCATCACATAACTTTTTTAGTACGTAATTTTTAACATCCTCTTGAGATTTCGCTCCATTATCATTATAAATACACCTAGTAGGGTCCATAAATCCATATAATTCTGAAATGGAATTCGCAAGACATACACGATGAATATACCTCAAGACATGCATGTATCTTTTCATACTCCAAATCCATCGGACACAATATTTTCTTCGCCTCGTAATAACGACTTGGCATTACATTACCTTCTGGAAGCATTTCGGTCAACAATTCAAGCAACTCGGTAAAACTTTTGTCAGTCCACCCATTCTTTGCCTTCAGATTAAATAATTTTAACACGGCTGACAGACATCCTAAAGATCATTACATTGACTTAAAATTAGTAACAAAACCAACATTTCATTGAAATAATCTTGGACCACTGAGAGAGTTTGGCCCATTGCCCTATGCAAAGTAACATGAATAACTCATTCCACCCACTCATCAATAGCAAGAAAATAAGAAGATACCTTTCATTACCTACAGAATACAAAAATGCATTCTAATGCAAAGAATTTGATTAAACATAGCAACATCTTATCTGGCTATACACTGCTCCATTACCTACAGATTACAAAAATTCATTCTAATGTCAATGTAATTGCATAAAATAGACAACATTTAGATTGAACATTGATTAGCTATTCAAACGATCATTTTCTTGTGGGGCACAAAGATACCTTTCATGTTCATATTTTTCAACTGTCAGTGGTGGCGGCGACGGTTGATGCACCTATTGATTAAGACGTTCCTAACCACATTTTACTCTTGTATCCAGGTCCATCACCTGTGATTATTACACCATATAAACAAAGATCAACTCATTGAATGTATGGTGATGACGTCAAAAGACAAGTCACTTACCAATTGCTCATAAACTTGAGAAAGTTTGGATTTAAATTTGGGTACATAAGCATCATGTCTTGGGGAATTTTCAAAACTGAAGTCACTGGCACAGTAAAACTTTAAGTACTAAACTCGTCTATATAATCATGGTAAATCTAAACAATCGGCTGACATTTAAGTTTCATTATTGACATATGATGGATAATTGAATAAATATTAAATCTGTGCAGCAATTACAATTCAATCAGGATCTAACACCAACAACAAATCTGAATAACTATTAAAATTAATTAAAAGAAAATGCAACTGTCATTCTGCGAAACCGAAACGCCGCTGCTAAGCTGACTATTACTGCTACTCAACTATTTTCTCTATCTATTACTGCAAGATAGAATGAACATATTGATATCCAATAACAGTGTCTCCTTTTGGCTTTATAACAAACATCAGTTCATCATATACCATATGAACATTGTATAAACTATAAACATAACTATTATCTTAAACATATTTGACAGTTGCAAAAACATATTTGACAGTTGCAAAAATTATAAAGAACTAGATATACAATGAAGTTGAACAAAATAGAAAGTTTTGTACCGGAATCGTAATTGGACGGCGGAGGATGTTTCGAAGACGGAGAACGGATAACGAACGGACGGAGAAACGGACGGCGAATGGACGGAGAAACGGACGGCAAATGGACGGCGGAGGATGTCTTCATGCAGCCGGCGGCGAGGAGACGTGAAATCTGTGAGGAGCGGCGTAGGAGAGACGGCGGAGCGGCATAGGCGATACGGGGGCGGAACGGCGTAGGCGAGACGCGTGGGACGGAGAAGTTGAACAGTGACGAAATAATTTGCATTTAGGGATTATTTAAACATTATATATATATATATATATATATATATATATATATATATATATATATATATATATATATATATATATATATATATATATATATATATATATATATATATATATATATGTTTTTACATCGGTGCAACCCTTGGCCCGATGTAAGGGTTCGGGCGGTTGATGTTTTTTTACATCGGTTTTTAGAATGGCCCGATGTAAGGTTCTGGCACTGATATTTTTTACATCGGTTTATAGAATGGCCCGATGTAAGGTAGTTTTTTACATCGGTTTAAAGAATGGCCAGATGTAAGGTTCGGGACACTGATGTTTTTTACATCAGTTTTTAGAATGCTCCGATGTAAGGTTCTTAATATATTACATCGGTGGACTGCAGGGACCGATGTAATATCTGGCCAGTTTTTTATTTACAATTCTGCCATCTGGTTTCTTATTTACAAAAATGCCACCGTGTTTTTTTCACGAAACCTTTTACATCGGTGGATTAAATGACCCGATGTAATAGATAGCGAAAAATATTTTTTTCATATTATTTATATCATTGCAAATAAATACCTGATGTAAAATATTTTTAATTTTATTTTTTACATCATATATTTTGATACCTGATGTAAATTTTTTTTCTCAAATGTCAATTTTTTAGTAGTGTATTATTCCGTCTATCTCTACTATTATCAAAAGTATGAAAGTTGCAAGAACTGATATCTACTTCCCAAAACCACTTAAACCTACATCTTTGGAATAATAACAAAGACTGCAAATTCAAAATCACTCACAATCTAGTCTCAATCTTTTCAACATATAAGATCCTAAGATCAGCCAAAGAATCCACTTTACTCATCGCCTCTATAAATTATCAATGAGAACCAATATTCCCAAACACCTATTTATTTCAAACTTTAAAAAATAATTTGAGAGATTTTTGTTTTTCCAACAAAATAAAAGATATCCACTCATGGATCTCATAACATATCTAACTCAAATGCAGTGACTCTAGCAAGAATGTGAGATAACTAATGATTATTGAATCTAAAAAGCTTATTACCCCACACTTGATTTGCATATTTTAGGATAACATGATAGTGATAAAAAACATCCCTACAAAGGTTCCATTGGAACACCTCGCCCAAATGATCCAACCACCCGTTAAAAATCGAAATTCGATTAAATCAGCTAGTTGTTCTACCATAAGGTTAGAACCAAGTGAACTTCTTGCGTGTGAGAGGAAGGTACTAAGCTCCATCTCGGATAGAGAGAATTCCAAGTTATCCACATTCTAAAATTATTATATGAATATCAAACTCCTACCATTTCTTTCGAATAGCAAATAAAATTAAAATCGCCCCAAACACACTAATTTTCACCTCCTAAACTCACTTTACAGTGCCACATATTAGACCACAAAACTCTTTTATCAACTACAGAACACTTGGAATAAACATTAACTAGGACCACCGGTAAAAGAGAACAAGGATCTACCTTTTGATTTGCACGAGATTGACAACAAACTTCTACTACATAAAGACAAACACTCTATTCACAAAATGAATTATCCCACAAGGTGTGTGAGTGTGAACAAGAGAAGAAGAGATCTAGTGAGTTTAGTTTCTTGGATTGTCTCAGTTTCTTTTCCCTGTTAAAAAAGGAAAATATTTTATAGTTTATATAATTAAATTAATTATATAATAATAAGTGTAGATTATATAAACTTTACCTTTATAATAAGATATTAAATATTCCGTAATCAGCTTGTCAAAATAAATAAAACTCCTAAAACAGTACAAAAAAACAAAATATGAGGATACCACGAAACACGCAATTAGTTTAAAGCACATGTTATGTTTGAAGTGGATATTCTTAACGTGTGGTCGTTATATCACATGTATGTCCACTGTTTACTAATCAGTCTCTCGTCCAATTATATGATACTAAATCCTATAGATTGAGTTCAAATCTTTCACTTTATTTATCTTCTAGTTAAACTTTCTTAATATATAAGACACAATACACAACAACACACTCATACGTGGAATAAGTTATAGTAGTGCTAGTTAGAGAAGATGGGGAGAAGGCCTTGTTGTGACAAAACTGGATTGAGAAAAGGTACATGGACTCCTGAAGAAGACAACAAGTTAATTGCTTATGTAACTAGATATGGCTCTTGGAATTGGCGACAACTACCTAAATTTGCAGGTATATATATAAATACGTTATTTATTAATGTGTGTCGGTTGGAGTTTTTCTTCTAGTTTATGTGTTATCTTGGAATAATGTTTTCAGGTCTTGAAAGGTGTGGGAAGAGTTGTAGACTAAGGTGGTTGAACTATCTAAGACCAGATGTCAAAAGAGGAAACTTTACACAACAAGAAGAAGATACTATCATCAAACTTCATCAAAAACTTGGTAATAGGTATATGAACTTCTCAATGCTCTATCACTTCCTAATGTAGCTTAAACTCAACACATTTATTTTCAAAGAGATTGAATAAAATAACATATATCAGTCTCTGGTTCCAACTCTCTTTCCTACATTTAAGGAAACATTTTTACATGATATCTTATTCTCACAAAAGTTAAATCGACACTTTTCTACATCTATACTGTACATAAGCATGGTTTTCAATTTTTAATTATTACCTTCTATATTTTTGAATTAAGACAAAGGTTTACTAGAACTCTCATAGTTAGCAGCTTTCACTTGTTACAAGCTGCTAACTTGTAACAACATAATAAGATAATAGAAAAACACTCAAATATTATATGATGATTTACACCTCATCTGTCTAGGTCATTAAGGTTGTTAAAAAATAAGATACATCTCAAATATTAGATGATGATTTACACCTCATCTCTCTACGTCATTATTGCGAATTGCCTATACGCGCCACTTATTATTCAGGAATAGAAATACAATTCATTCTCGACCCTCGTGACTCAATAGTTGTATTAGAGCGTGATTTGGCCAGACTTATTGTATCAAAAGTCTTCTTGATCAAGGTGTTCAAGCGGCGTGTTTTGAGAACCAACAACAGCGATGCAAGTAAATATGGAAGAAAAAACTTCCATTCGAGTGAGAGCATATCTTTGAGAATTGATGGACTCACATTTAACAATGAGGTTGTTGGTACATTAAGTTTAAGTATGAGGCTCACATTGAAAGAAAAAGCGAATATTGAAAATTTTATAAATGAGAAGATCTATAAACCTAATACCTTAAGATTTTATATAAAAATGTTTCAACATGTTGCAGTAATAATATTGATTGAGAAATGTTTGAAATGCACAATTGATCATTTGAAGTGAGTGTTACAAGTTCAATGTGATGATCTCTGGACTCATTCGTGATCCAACATGTTGTGGTAACAATATCGATTGAGAGATGTTCAAAATGCATGATTGAAAAAAAATTAATGTTAAAATTTTTCATTACATCACAAAAAGATTGAAATTTAGAGTTCAAAAATTTTAATTTTAGTTAAAAAATTTGAATGAAGGTGGTTAAGATTGTCTGATAAGAATTGTTAAAAATAATATTTAAATTTTTAAGAGAAGACATTCATTTTCTATATAATATATAGTATTAAGGCTTTTTTATTACGATGAAAGTATATTTTTATTATGCAGATGGATTGTGATTGCTGCAAATTTACCGGGAAGAACAGATAATGAGATAAAGAATCATTGGCACACCAACTTGAAAAAGCGTTTAATAAAGAATAATAATTCAGACGCTAATGATGGAACAGGAAACTCCAAAGACACAAATTCAGATAACCCTGCAATGGAACAAGACAACACACTTGAAGGAGTGTTGGAGAAAAATAGTGGCCCCAATATTACAAGTCCATTGTCTTCAATCCCATCTTCAAGTGGAACAATGGATACTCCAACAACCACAGAAATATCATATGAAAATTATGTTCTTGACGAGCTTCCTTTAATGGATGCATACATGGATGTTTTGAATGATAATTTCTGGACAGAACCATATATCATGGACGGTTCATATGTCCCTCCAAATGAAGAAACTACATTATTACCTATCTGGTGTGAAGATGAATACTTCAGTGCTATGTACGATGAACAACTTTGGAGCCATCAACAATAAATTGTTGCATTAATGTGGGGATTTACTTTCTTTTTTTTTAATTTTAATGCCGGCAGATAATAATAAAAACACATGATTACTACTTTGTCATGTTTTTCCTATGCGGTGTAATGTCATACTTTGAACAAATATTTAATAACCATGTCATGTCAATATCAATTTCTTTTTCACTATCACCTTGTCTTTATTTACAAAAATATATAATTTATTTGTAATTTTTTTTCGGATATATATATATATATATATATATATATATATATATATATATATATATATATATATATATATATATATATATATATATATATATATTATAAAAGGAAATGGACAAACAATGTAATAATGGAACAAGAAATTCTAAAGACACAAATTGAGATAACCCTACAATGGAAAAAGACAACAAACATGAAGGAGTGTTAGAGAACAGTTGTGGTCCCAATAATACATGTCCATTGTCTTCAATCCCATCTTCATGTGGAACAATGGATACTCCAACAACTACGGAAATATCATATGAAAATTATGTTCTTGACGAGCTTCCTCGGATGCATACATGGATGTATTGAATGATAATTTCTGGACATAACCATATATGATAGACAACTTATATGGTAAAATAATGATTTTAGTAACAGATAAATTGATATAAAATGACATTTTATTTAATATAATATTAACTTTTATATATTATTATTGAGTTAAATTTTATTTAAAATTAAATGTACACATGTGTAAATAATTTTAAATATATATATATATATATATATATATATATATATATATATATATATATATATATATATATATATATATATATATATATATATATATATATATATATATATATATATATATATATATATATATATTTTAAAGGTGAATGACATATGATAGAATATGAGTGATCAGGAATAGAAAGTAAAGTTGGAATCGATTAAGAAAGAGAAAAATTTTGAATTTTGAAAGAATTATTTGCGAGGGACAGGCCGTGGCAAAGAGAAATGGCGCCAAAGTGTCACATCATAGGGCATATTTTTCAGCATTGTGTGACGATGCACACCAAGCAAAATGACATCGTGGCATTAGCAAGGGGCTACCCCACGCTAGTTAGACAACTTTGGTCAAGTCACAGTAGTGTGCAGACTGCGCATGCAATCTGCATTTTCTAATGTAACAATTAGCGAGGGGCTACCCCACACGCCTTTTTACCGTTGCTTTTGCAAGGGGCACCCCATGGCAAATGTTCCTATACAATAAATTCATTTCACCCACTTCACCGTTTCAGTTGTATACTTATTGATGAAATATAATTATTTTAATATATATCTCACTCCACCGATTTTCTCTATTCTCTCTATTCCTCCACACCTCCATCTTCTTCCTCTCAAATACAAAACCCAAATTTTCATAGTTTCTCAACATTAGCATAAATATTTTTCAGGTAAATTATTAAATGATTTCATTATGTGTTTAATTTATTTTCAAAGTTAGTTTTTAATGTAATTTTTGTTTTTATTTTTTGTTTTTCATGTACCAATTGGCATATCTTAAGGGAGCAAGATTTTGGAGAAAAACTTCAAAAAGTACAGTAATTTGTTCATCAATTTCAGATACACATTAATAAATAATTTTTTTTTGCATATAATATGTTGAAGTAGTAGAAATATTTTGTGTATATATTTGTTTTGTGTGACTTTTGGTTTGTGTTACAATATAAACTGCAAAGATTTTTTTAATTAGCTTGCCACGCCTTTATTTTTTTTTTGTTTTTATTACTTTATTACATCGGTGGATATTCCACCCGATGTAATAGCTTGCCACGCCTTTATTTTTTTTTTGTTTTTATTACTTTATTACATCGGTGGATATTCCACCCGATGTAATAGCTTGCCACGCCTTTATTTTTTGTTTTGTTTTTATTACTTTATTACATCGGTGGATATTCCACCCGATGTAATAGCTTGCCACGCCTTTATTTTTTTTTTTGTTTTTATTACTTTATTACATGGGTGGATATTCCAACCGATGTAATAGTTTGTGTTGACACGCGTTGGTTTTTTCTCCTTTTTTTAATATATCTTTTATATCTTTTATTACTTTATTACATCGGTGGATATTCCAACCGATGTAATAGCTTTCTTATATTTTTTTAACGTTTTAGACACGTTGTCTCTTATTTACAAAAATGCCACCGTGTTTTTTTTGTAAATCTTTTACATCGGTGGATGAGATTGCCCGATGTAATAGGTGACGAAAAAAATTCTTTCCTTATTTTTTATATCATTGTAATTAAATATCTGATGTAAAAAGTTTGTTAACTGTATTTTTTACATCACATATTTTGATACCCGATGTAAATTTTTTTTTCTGAAATGTCTTTTTTTTAGTAGTGGGAGTATATATATATTGATATTTTTTAAAAGTAGAGCATCTGAAGTTGGTGGCTGCAACTACACATCGGGTAGTATTAGTGTTGTTGAAGTTGCATGAAGAACAGTATGTAAATTTATTTATTTATTAATTAATTTATCATTTAGATTTTAGATTACGTATAACTAATTATTATTTTTTACTTATTTAATTAACGTGAAGAGTTGGGTAGAACTCCACTTCTTAAAGAGCTCCATATGGAGACTCATCTCAAGAGAAATGGAGAGTTTATTGACGACCGCACAAGAAACAATCAAGTAAGTTTTTCTTATATTAGAAACATTTTATTTATTTCTTTTATATGTACCTAACTTATTTGAATCTTCATAACATTTAATTTTTTTATAGGAGGAGTTTGATAGACAACTTGCCCTAAAGATTTCAGAGCATCCTAAAATACCTGGACCACCACCGGGATATCCTGTTGACTCTAGTATGAGTTTTCGGACATGGTATGATATTTCAGGTTAAAAGAAGAAAAATGAGAGAGTGTATGATGCTGTAGGGTACGCCAAAACTATCAAGCAGCGTGAGAAGAGTTTCAGAATAAGAGTTATTGATAGAGAAGGAACATCAACTCCATCTATATTAACCATCAAAATGCTTGAAACTGTGAGAAATTTGGCGAAAAATGAGGCAACACTCCAAGTAGCAGCAAGAAATGCAGAAATTGAAGAGACGGAGAGAAAACAATTAGAGATGCAACAAGAAATGCATAAAAGAGAAACAGAGTTGCGGGAAGAAATGATGAGGCAAGCACTGGAGTATCAAGAAGCAATGCAGGTTGCAAATGAGCAGATACAACGATTTGATCAATTTTTTGCTTCATAAAATTCCGGTGGTAGATTTGGAGAAACTAGTGGATATGGAGGAGTTTTTGAAGAAGAAGAGCAAGAGGAACAAAATGAACAAGATGAATAGAATAATTAAGTTTGAAAATTTGTAGTTTCTTTTAATTTGCATGGAAGAATTTATGTTAACTATTTTGAACTTAATTTTAACTTTATTGTAATTTGCATGAAGTTTTATTTTAATTTTTATTATTTTTTATAGAATTTTCATTATTATATTTATTATGTTTAACTATATTTATTCTATTAATTATATTAATTATATTATAATTATATTAATTATTATTATTGTATTATAATTATCTTTATTCTATTAATATCAATATATTTTATTCTATTAATATTATTATTTTTAATAATTATTTTCACAATTTGTCAGGTGATAAACATCAAGTAAAATATCAACGCATACATTTTTTCAGGGGCTTAATCCCTAGCCAACAGAAAACACTTGCATTTTGCGAGGGGCTTAACCCCAAGCAAAAGTTCTGACGCACTGCAGCAACATCTGAACCCCTAGCCTGCGTTTATGTCTGTATGTTGCAGGTTGTAAAATTCAGATTGTGATTTGAGAGGCGGTATGCCCTAAACAAATTGGCGACTAGGAGAGTCCCTCACTAATCAATTTGCGACCCCCTGTTTTGCTAGGGTACCTGTCCCCTCGCATTACTTGTATTTGTAAGGGTTTTTTTCATTTGTGAGGGCTTTAACCCATGACTAATTTCGTTTTTTCTTGTAGTGAATGGAGAAAAATTGCAGAAGATTATGTTGAATATTAGATTAGATTTGATTAAATTTAATATTTAAATATAATTCAAGTTGTGTTAGCCCAAACCCAATTAGGGTTGTATATAAATAGTCATAGTTTGTATCCTTATTTGTAACAACTGAATAATATAATCCTTATTTTCTTTATTATTCTCTCTTTCTCTCCTCACTAAAAGGGCCTCACGCACTAACAAATTGGTATCCAGAGCTTCCAGTTATTGTTCTTGATTGAGTTTTCAAGAGCTTTATGCCGGAGATCATGTTTCTAGGGCAAGTGAACCAACCACTGCAAAGATGGCTAGTGATAAGGGCATTATGAATTCTCTTCCAATGCTTGACGGAAAGAATTGAATCTGATGGAAAAAATAGATACAATCCTTGTTTGGCTTCCATGAAACTCTAGAAGTGGTTACCGACGGTGTTCCTGCATTGGCAGCAAATGCTGAATAGATGCTGAACAGGAAAAAAGACCATAACAAAGTCAAGAAGAAAGATTGCAAAGCTGCTTATTATATTCAGACGGCGGCGAGGCTGCTAACTTTGACAGGATTTCTCATTCTGAAGCGGCGAAGGAGGCATGAGATATTCTTGTGAAGTATTTCGAAGGAGGTCAGAAAGTCAAGGTTTTTAAGTCACAAACCTTGCATCGACAATATGAGTTATTATCGATGGGAGAAGATGAAAAGGTTGTAGAATATGTGTCAAAGGTTTAAAAACTCGTCCATCTCATGAAATATTATGGTGAAATCACAACTGATAGGATGCTATTTTAGAAGGCAATGAGAATGTTGACCTCTCACTTTGATCATATTATCATAGCTATTCAAGAATCTTGACTTGATTTGCAGTGATGGTTTGGCACACTTGGTTGTCAGTAACCTCTAGCCCAGGGCAAGCATCATCAGGTCTTCCTAGGAATTTGTTTATTTCAGAGGGAGAGAAATTTACCTT